GCATTTTTTAAATCGATATATCCTTGAATGTATTGAAATTATGAATTCCGTGTGATTTTTCTTGCACGACCTTCAGTATATCAGTGAGTATGTTTCCCTGGTCTCTTGCTCAAAATGAGTGGAAAACGACTTCTTTCGTGTAAAGAATGGATTGATGAATGATACAGCAGAGAATCGAAATTTTTCAAGTCGAGGATTGATGAATGATACAAAGAATTTCAACCATCATCTCCAGTCACGTCGAGTGCCTGAGTGTCACAATTTATGAATGACCCATGGGTACGGTACAGCATAAAACGAAATGATGAATGGCGTGCTTCGCATTGTGTTCTCTCAGTTTGTGATGGAAGTTGTTATTCAAACCTTCTTCATTGCTATCATGATTTATTGCTTTGAATGTGACGATAATTGTCCTGAAAAGGATTTTTTTTAATGTACAATCGCCTGAGTAATTCATTCCAGTTCCTGAGGAGTGGTCAAGATGATTACAGTATCGGAAAGGATCGAATGGGGAGAGCGAATAGGGAATGGAGTTCAAAATTATTTTTACAGTATCTTTTCGGTTCCTTCAAATTTTCAGTACCGTATTTATCCAGGTTGAATTAATTGTCTTTTGCTGAAAAAGCGATGATGCCGAGTTTTCATTCAATCGACATGATGTTGTGCAAAGTTTCATCAATCTCAGTGATACCCACAGGAATTTACGGGCAGTCGGTCGGTTCTGATATGTTTGTCACAAAAAAAAGCGAGAAATAATTTTAGATATAAGGGTTGGGGAAATACAAGTACAGTACACTGTATGTAACTTGTCAGAATTCTGAAGCGAGAAGGTATATGAGAAATGAACCATGGGTTATTGGCCTGTGTCGTTTTTTGTCTAAATGTTCAAGGTTGATTTTGAATGTTTGATTTTTTCATCATTAATTTTTTATGCCGGGGATTTTTGAAATTCTACGACGTGCATACTAATTTTTTCGCTAATTTCTCTCGGTTGAAGTGGAACCCAATTCTCACAGAAATATCCAAGGACAAGTTTTGGCAATTGCAGAAACTAGTCCCTTTTATGACTCAGTTTTTTTGAGAATTGCCTTTTGGCACTCACTCTTTGAGGGATTAAGTTGTTAGGACACTGACATGAAAATTGGTTAATTCTTCAAAACAGCCGACTAAATTTGCAACATATTTATCTTGATTTTTTTTTAAATATTATGAGTTGAAGAAGAAGAAGAGTATGTCTGAATGAAATAGAAGAAAGATTAATACCTTGGGTGTGATGGATTCGGCTTTCACTTTTTCTTTCCCCCATTGCAGCAGACCTCTCCATGTTCTGGCACCTGCAAAACTGCGCAGTTCCGTCCGTTTGTTTGGCGAATCGGCCGATTTCATTCACGTTGGCATCGTATTGTTTGTCCGTGTCCGCCTTGTTTGTGCAAGGTGCGCCGCCAAGTGCCGCCTGGCGCCTTTGCGAAAAATCGGTCGACTCGTATTTCTTCCTCCTTTCCGTGGTTTGCATACTGTATAGTCATATTTATTTTTATTTTATTTTTTTTTGGTTCACCTGACGTCAACGCGACGTTTATATTACGGTATTACGATGAGTTATTCTCATCTCTTCTTGGAACATTCAATTTTTTTTAGTCTTGCATGTCATGTAGAAAATTTCATCACTGACTGACTGACTGACACGATGAGACATTGCACAGAATTGCTGCGTTCCTATTTTGAGATTGGCTAATTTTCGTGTAAATATTTATATTTCCCAAGTTTCTCTCTCCTGTGTCAACATTACGATGAGTTATATTCATCTCTTCGTGGAACTACAGTAAATTTCTTCTTTAGATATTCTTTTGCGTGTCATGCAGAAAATTTCATTACTAACTGACACGCCTTAATCGAGGCTGGTTAAATGAAATACTGAACAGAATCTATCAGTACTACTGTATTTGGACAATATATTGTTTGAGATTAGCTAATTTTCGTGTACTGTAGTTAATATTTTTCACGTTTTCTCTCTCCTGTCAACGCAACGTGGATGATGAGTTTTCATCCCTTTTTGAACTGCAATTTTTTATTCTATGAAAGTTTTTTCTGCGTGTCATGTAGAAAATTTCATTGCTGACTGAAACGCTGTAATATCGAGCCTGTTTAAATGAAATAATGCACTGAACAAAACTTCTCGATACTCTTTGGGACAATTGTTTGAGATTATCTAATTTTCGTGCATTTAATATTTTCCCATGCTTCTCACTCCGCGAATATTGAAATATATTCTGCATGAAAATCGGTTTTCTGGGGATCAGCAGAAATCGCCTGCTGATCAAAGCCAGGGCGCTGACAATTTTGTTTGCGCGCCAAAAAGAGTGGAATGAGTCAGAAACACAATTCAAGGAAGGCAGAAAAATGGACATAATTGTTCAAAATTGAATCAAACGTATATATAGGCTGGGAGGGAATTGAAGATGGTAGGAATTTTCGACGGATTCTTGTTGAAGAATTCCACGAGTAGATCAAAAGTATTGACCATAATATAAGCTTTCAAATGCATTGAATGAAGAAAATCAGTGGAAAATTCCAGTGGAATGGCTGCTATTTTTTTGTTTCAGTCCAGCTAAGTCTTTTAACAATCCTTTCGTGGTTAAAAAAAAAATTGTATGGCGGAAGCGTGACATCATTTTTTTTAACGCTTCCTCGTGCCATCGGTTTTTTGTTTGTTCGTCATTCCGGGTTATATTTTTTTTAATGTTTGGAATGCGTGCATTTTTTCAGTTCGAAAAGAAACTAAAAAAGAAAAACTGAGTTTGTGGTTTGACGCTTTTCTGACTTCCTACAGCCATGCATTCTTAGTAACGAAATGGTTTTCCTTCGGGAAGAAGTTTTCGAATATATACAGTAATCCACAAAAAGCTTCAGTTCGACCCAGTTGTGAAAATAGTTAAACTTCCTGGTTCAAACGAAAGAAATCCGTGATTTCTTTTTGAAAATTCGAGGGAAATTGAAAACAAAATGAGCATCGCCGTGCTTCAAAAACTTTTTTTTTCTGTTCGACACTTACCCGACTTCTAATACGCCTATTGTTTAAGGAGCGAAGTAACTATATTCCTTTGCGAAGGCGATTGCGATTGAAATAATCATGACCTATTGTTTAAGGAGCGAAGTAACTATATTCCTTTGCGAAGGCGATTGCGATTGAAATAATCATGAGAATGAATTAAACTAATAATTAGAGGGTCCGAATTGAGTATATAAGACGTATTAGTAAAATAAGTAAGGGACTTCATATCATCTTTTGAACCTGTGAAATTCGTGAAGGTTTTTTTATTCAATTTAAATTGAAGACAAATTCAAACCAAAGTTTCTCCAATTATTTTGATCGATTTTTATCCGCTTATTTCAAGTAACTAAACTGATCCTTTTGAAAAAGGAGCTTGCAATTAAATCAGTAATTAAAATAGGCTGCCACAAAGCTTCTTTTTTTTCCTTTTCGAATGCGATTGCAATTGAAATAATCATGAGAATAAATTAAAATAATAGTTAGAGGATCCGAATTGAGTATAAGATGTAGTAGTAAAATAAGTAAGAGACTTTAATATCATCTTTGGAACCTGTGAAATTCGTGAAGGTTTTTTTTAATTCAATTTAAATTGACGACAAATTCAACCCAAAGTTTTTCCAATTATTCTGATCGATTTTTATCCGCTTATTTCAAGTTTGACGAAACTGATCCTTTTGAAAAAGGAGCTTGCAATTAAATCAGTAATTAAAATAGGCTGCCACAAAGCTTCTTTTTTTTCCTTTTCGAATGCGATTGCGATTAAAATAATGACGAAAATGTACAAAGGGATCAGAAATGAGTAAAAACGCAGTTGATGGTTGGATCACATGCCTCAGGTGCCCTCATCCGCGGAAACGGGTTTTCCGGGCAACGGATTAGAATAATTGCGTCACACTCGAGCTGTCCCATTACCCCTTTTTTCCAAGTGGGATTCTGGCGGGTTCCCGCAGTGATCAACACCAAAACTTCCTTATATGCTTTACATTTTCTCGACCACATGGACTTTATTTTATGTGTTTGATGAGTGCCGGAAAGCTTGTCTGCAGTTCTGGTACACATTTAGTGCAGAAAAAGTTTCGGGCGAAACCCCGTTTGATAATGAAAGACTCGCAGAAGAAAAAACATTCGGCGAAAATCGCCCACGGAAAATTAGACTGTGGTCCATGTTTTTAATCCATTGAATTATTCTATTTTTGAGGCCCATACATAACTTTTTTTTTACAAATTTCTTCGTGCTTTTTGTAAATGCTAAAAATGTGAAAATCTGTGACACGTACTGTATATGTTTCATTTTCGTCTGGATTTTCTTGCTATCTTACCTTCATTAGCTGCTCGAAACAATTATTATAAATTAGATTCTCCTTTAAAATTTTTCAGCTGCATTTTTTTTTCATCGATTTGAACGCAATAATTGTATATCTTGTTCCAAAATTTAATAATAATTTTACTAATACCGACTTTTGACACTCCGTTTCTTCTTCAAACTTGGATGAATTGCCATTTCTGGACCCAAGCGGAGGGAAATTTGCAACTAATTTATGATTGGCGGCAATAAAAAGAAGGTCATGAATAGTTTTTTTCAAACGTTTGCTCCACTTGAATCTTGCAAAATATTTGCGTAGATCATATGGATTCTAAAGTCACCGCATGGAAGAAAGGGGTAATTTATTGCTGAGGCCGATTCGTTGTTTCTTCGTCAGCCATGGTCTCAAAATTAGTTGGCGGTGGGAAATGTTTTTAAAATGTTTGCCGGCAGAAATTTACGTTAAAAATCTCTTTGGAATTATTGAAAAAATTAGAATACTTTCTTCTGTTCAATATACCGCGCGAAATGAGAAAAAATCCGACTGCACGCGCAAAAATCGGACGCATAATTTTTAGAAATATTTCGTCACAGTTCGTGTTATTTTTTACAAAGCGTTTCTGCTGAGTTTAATCTTGAAATTTTTCCTTTAATTCTTGTCAACAGGTGGAGAGAAATTCGGTCGGATCGGGCTAACGGTCGTCGTTGCTGTTTGTTCGAATTCTCTTCTTTTCTGTGAAATTCGGGCGGAAAAAAGAAATTAGTGAAAGCTATATAATCGCAGGAATCATGCCGATGCCTTCGAACACGATCATCCCAAAACCCGTGGTTTCCTCCGGATTCTGCGGGAACCCGCTCAAAAAGTCCACAATGATTGTCGGTGTCATCACTCTTGTGAGTACAAATACTGTACTGTATATATAAACTGAGAGATAAAAGGCCATCACTTTTGGAAAATTGTTTTCTGAATCGTTTTCAGGAGGCGTTTTTTTTCAGTTTACGTTTTCTAAATTTCGGGTGCCATTTTCCGTCAGGTTTCATGCGTAGCTTGACGGAAATCGATTTCAGTTTATTGTGGTAAAAAAAATTATGTGGTTATGAAATACAGAACATCATCATCAAGGGTCTTCAAAAGCTGAACAGTTCGAAATGCAAATGAAGACTGTCCAGAACATTTATTTTTATTTTGTGTTTTCGAATAATTTAGGTTCACATAATAGTAGGCATAATTTGCCAAATCATTTTTCTAGCATGCAAATCAAGTGAAGGAAGATAAAAAAAAGTAATGGAAGTGACACGGTTCCCGATATATTTTTATCGCCCAGGTCTCCTCTCTGTCTCGAAATTTGTCAAAATGACGTAAATGGGTGTTCTGAAACTTTCTAAATGTATTCCGATGTATTTATCTATCACCTTAGCTAATCTTCCATTTTTGCTGCTTTTTTGTGATGGCTGTTCACTTTTTTCTCTGGGCATAATTCTCGATAAGTTCATATTTTTACATAGATGAATAATGACTCATCGTGATCCAGAAATGTATGACGCAAATAATAATTCCTAAAATAATTATTTGGGAATTGAAGAGAAAAGTGTGCCGAAAACCCAATTTGTGGACAGAGTTTTTGAAGTTGTCATTTATTGTGCACCCATTATCAAATTCGCAAATTAATAGAAAACGCTTGATGAATATACTCGTACGACATTTCATTGATCGCAATCTTTTTCTCAAATACAGTAATGGGCTTAGAACGAAAGATGAAATAATATAAATGCAAATTGTGGGATTCAAGTATTGTAACTTTTAAATTTTAAATTTTATGATACCATCTGCTTCATTTATCACCGGATTCAATGTATTCTGATCCAGGGTATGTCGAAAATGCATTGGTTAAAAGTTATCTCTAGTTAAATATTACGACACGTACAGCTGTTGGAATCCGACTTGCGAAACATTTGACAAGACGTTTTGGGCGGGAATGTAATTCACAATACTTCGTGGATTCTAAATGCTTTCGTCGCGTTAGGCAATCATTCGAGGGACAGCACTTTTTCAAAGTTTATTGTGTAAAAGCTATTCCTTTTTGTGCATTTGGAACTCGTATTTTTCCTACAATTTGCATTGCAAATTTTCGTGTTTCAAGGTCTTTGGAGTCATCTTCTTCTTCCTGTCCTTGGTGTACATGTACTTCTTCGTGTCCCCGGCCCATTTCGTCAGTGAGTATTTCGAAATTTGCTTTCCGAGGACGCGTAGAGCCAGCGGATGAAATTCACCGATGATTTCGAATTTTATTTTTACAGTGAGTGGCGAAAATCCCGTGAGCTTGCAAGCTGGTTTCATCATTTGCATTCTGGTCAGCGCATTCCTCATCTACGGTGTGCGACAGGTACCGTTATTTATTTCCTATGAAATTCACTTTACCAATTTTTTTGAAATAAACTTCATGTTCTATACTGCAGTATAATCTGATGTTCTCTCGTTGTTGATCTCATAGACTCTAGACATGTATTTCAAACTTTATTAAGACAACTATAAAATAGCCAATTTTATTTTTTTAGCCAGGAGGAACCTGAATTCACTCTGTAAGCGAAATTTTCTTGGACGTGCTGTAATTCGAATGAAGCAGTCAACCCCTGTTTAATGGACTTAATTTGTGGAACGGACAAATCTGTTCAATGAAAAGTCCTTCAGACAAATTCATTTACATGAAACATTAAAACTTTTATTGTCAACATTAATTTTAAACCAACAGAAGCCTGTTTGGCGGATTTTGTCTGTTGGGCGGGAGGAAAAACTCCCTGTAGAGCTGGTCTGTTAGGCGGGGGTCACTATCTGAATTGTGATGCTCCAAAAAATGGCTATTTATACGGATTGTTAGTGGATTTATTTTGGTCACGCTTTGGCACAAGTACTGGGTCAAGGTAATCCGCATATTTAAGTGTTGAGTATATGCAGTAGTTTTAAAAATTTACAATGAAAAAAGTGAATTGTATTTACAGTATTTACTGTACATCTAACATATCAGGCTATATAGTACAGTACTGCATATGATAATTTTTGAACATTACTGTATCTTTATTGCGAAAANCAGTAGTTTTAAAAATTTACAATGAAAAAAGTGAATTGTATTTACAGTATTTACTGTACATCTAACATATCAGGCTATATAGTACAGTACTGCATATGATAATTTTTGAACATTACTGTATCTTTATTGCGAAAATTCTACAAATATTCATGTACTGCTGTAGCCAATTAAAGTCTAAGGCACTGCCTATAAAGACTCTTCTCGTTAACTCTTATGACTCTTATTTACCTATTCGGTATGGTATTTAGGGGTTTAAGTCTCCAGAACGGAACTTCATTATTCAACATAATAACAACCAGAAATTTTACCTTTTTCCCGGATATAAATTTACACTTATCAGCATGTGTTTAATTTGAAGGGACTCCGAAATAATCTTCTTATAGTGAGTTTTCAATTTGTGGAATGATCAGGTCAAAATTGTGTGGATTAAATGGGGCAAACTATTTTCTGGATCTTTCATTAAAAGGGATTATTATCCCTAGACTGTCTGCCTGCAAGAAATTGTCCAATCTTTTCTGGAGAGCCCTGCAATGATAATTTTCATCTGTTGTGAAACAGGTGTTCTAAGATGTAGCCATGTTTAATAACACAGAGTCCTATAAACACTTGACTGTTGCAGGTGCATATAGATACTGCAGAATGAGTTATATAGAGGTTCAAAATGCATTGTTGTTAAGGGCTCAACTGGAAATTGAAATTTCAATAGGGTTTTGACTTGACAAGGTCCAACTGTGGAATGATGCTGGATATTGCTAGTCTCTTATTCTGTACTGTTTAGTGCTGGTATAGGGAGGATCAAAAGGCATATGATCTTGATTGAATTAGACAGGGCTTCACTGGAGATCAAGATTTATATAGATTGTTGATTTGACAAAGGTAACTGCAGAATGATGCTATAGTCTCTTACCCTGTCTTCTCTATAATGTTGGAGATGTTCAAAATGCATTGATCTTAAGGTAGTTGGCCATCACTCAGGGCTTCCCCGGAAATTAAAATTCAAATAGGATTTTGCCTTGACAAGCTAGTTCCAGCTACAGCGTAAAACGTATACAGTACAGTATATGCTATAGTCCCTTATGCTGTGTCTTCTCTAGTTTTATAGAGGGGTTTTAATTGCATTGAAATGTATGGAATTATTAGCCATGGCTTCATTGGAAATACGAATATGAATAGAAATTTGGACATAACAAAGCCCAACATTGTGATATATGATGCTAGTCTCTTATTCTGTCTTCTCTATATAGTTTCAATGAGGTTCAAAATGCTCTGATCTTGAAAACTTGGCCAAGGCTCAACTGGAATAAGTTGAAATTAGGATTTTGACTTGACAAGCTAGGTCCAAGTACAGTATATGCAATGATGCTATAAGAATCTCTTATTGTGTCTCCTCATATGTGAAGTCTTGTTAGCCAAGACGAAGGACGGTACCGACCAGACCCGGTCATAGCTTCGGTAGAAGTGGGACCGCTGGTAGCAGGATTGCCAAAAGTCGCACCGAGAGGAGTTCCGCGGGTACTTGATCGTCATTCTGGTCATTCTCATCGTTGTGGACGTGACGTTGGTCTACTTTGGCATAGTCGTGATCTCGTACTACCTTCAGCTCCGCGACCAGTTCCTCAACGATCCCGAGCACGAACCAAAGCCATTTGACAAAATCCCGGCTTGAGAACCGCGCACCTTTTTTCGCACCATTTTCCGCGCGCTGTTTGTTCTTCCGAAATTTCCATGCCGTCAAGATTTATTGTTTTCTTTTCGTTTGTTATTTTTTTCTGGAAGGTTTTTTTTGTGTTTGTTTTATTGATTTAATCCAGACATTGAAGTGATTGATTCGGGACGATGAGGATGAGGCGGATGTCGATCAAGTGAAGTTTTCGATCCACGTGCTTGTAATAATGGCCATGGTTATAAGCTTCTTTTTTTCTGCGTTTGGCTTGAGACTTTGATGTAAAAAAAAATGAATAAACCAGAATTTGTAATCGTTCTCTCGTCGCCATTTCAATTATTTTTGCCACTCCTTTTTGTAGCGAGAAAACGACGAGGTTTTCCATCGATATGCGCTTCATGCACCCGTAGTTCTTGCATCAAGAGTAGTGAACTCGCGGGTTGGAAGAGTGACTTGTTGTGTGGAGTTCATTATACGACCGATGCGAAGATATGTACCAAGTTCAGCATAGGTTGAAAGTGACTTGTCGCGGGTGCTTTCCTTGATCAGTAGTTTCTAGTGAAACTTGCTGCTATGCGGAAGGGAAGGCTGTGTTTACATTCATGCTGTGTGGTTCGTTATTATTGATGGCTGCCTATACACATCTTATTAGCATCAGAAAAACAAAAACACTCCAAGTTGAACGTCAAGGGACCAGCAAAAACTGTCCAGTTAAGGAAATGAACATTTTTGTTGGGGAAAAGAAAGAAGAATTGCAAGAATTCCACTTACAATATTCTGTACCACAAATTGCTTCTTCAATGAGTTGACAGGATGTTGAACTAGGAAGAAAGCAAGGGCTCACTTATTGCCCAATTGGCACTGCATTTCACTTCCTTTTGAAATGCCTCAGGTCATATTTTTATTACTTTTTCTTCTCAGCAGTGCCAGTAAAATGAAAGCCAAAAAGGCATCCAGAAAATTGGACTTATGGAGGTTTGAGGGGGACAATCTGAGTTTTGATCATAAGGGAATTCAGACAGGAACTTGAAAAAAAATAGGTGTTCAACTCAGGGCAGTTCCACTTATTGAGGTGACTGCGTGTAAGAAGTAACTTCAATTTTTCAATCATGCATGGTAAACCCTAGTATTATGTGAGAAATACTGTAGTTGCATACAATTTGAATCATTCCCACAAATAACCAAGAAATATAATTTCCTAATTTGGGACATCTGCTGCATGTAGTAGCTAATATATTTTGGGCATTGTAAATGCATAACATGGGACAGATTCATAAACAGGAACTCAAATTATCATTGCCATCAAGTTCGCTAATCTGCTCAGATGATAGAAATACGAAGTAAATAATTCTTCACATCAAAAAAAAAATTATTTCCAAGGATGGCCACAAATTCAGCAGGTCAACCTCTAATAAATCAGAGAACAGGGTGAAGTTAAAAAAAAAAAATAATAGGTGCATCGTCCACCTGGATTCTTCTAAATTTACTGCAAGTTGACATCGTCAATCGAAATTCAGATGAGAACGGTTCATTAAGCAGATGAGAGATTCATAGGAACTCCACGTAAGGTCATTCAATGCACATATCAGGTTTTGCTTGACAAGGCTAGGACATGACGGAGTAAATATTGATTTGGCAGTCAAGTGACGTAGAAAAAAGAGAAGTGGTGCAATAATGCAGTCTCTTCTTCATTCATACATTTTTGCATTATGCCACTTCAAATCCAGCTAAATTGAGGCAACCCCACGCCAGGCCAAAGTTCTAGCATTAACTATAAAACAAGAATTAGTCCCGGGATGGAGAACAAACCCAAATTGTTGGAGGGTTCAGATGTTACCAGATGATGCTTAGTATCCTTGGTGAATGGCTGCATCCATTTCGTTCACGTCTTGTTAGGTATTCCGAAATGTACGGAAGCCAAGTTAGGATTCTGATTTCTTCGTTTTCTCCTGCTGCATTCCCCCCCCCTCATGAAATTAGTTGAATACTAATTTGAATCATAAGAAAACAAATGCTTCAAAATTTTTTCAGCTTGATCCAAGAAATATTTTTTCAGAAGAAATGAATAAGAGGTTATAAAAAAAAATTCGATACAGTTTTCAAATCAAGCTACAATCTACTTAATATCCTTACAATCCAGTACTGTATTCACGCCATTCTACAAGATTAAACAACTTTCTTCAAAGAAAAGTCTCGTGTATTTCGAAATAGAAAAAATACAATTTTGATATACGCGCGTTTCATAAATCTAAGATCTAGGGAAAATTCTGCAAAAAAGGCGCTTCGTCAAAGCCGTACAAAAATTTCTTGGCGTTCATTAAAAAATCGCGTCGGAATATATAAAAAAATTCAAATCGTCTCGCGAACACACTCTTCGTCAATTCCCTGAAGGCATCTACGAATTAATGTACAGTACTTCTCGCTCAGATTCAAGCCACATTATCAACCGCATATTGAAAACGTAAACTATAAATGCAGAATACGTGCGATCAAGAAAATACGATGAATCGTCATACTTTTCTCGAGAGCTGAAAAATAAAAACACTTCAGGGTAAAATAGGAAAGAAATGGAACGAACCTACGCCGAACATCGTTCACGACCCGCACATCAAGCAATCATCCCTGTTCTGAATCGAGCAAACCATCTGCTTCATACTGGTTTCCCTGCTGTCGTCGCCATTCATTTGTTCCGACCCATTCAGGGTTCCATTGGCGACCCCATTGACCTTAACCGAGGCCGTGTTCTTGTCAACAGTGAACTGAATGGCATTCGCAGCGGGCTTCGTTCGCAAATAATACATCCCGGTCTTCAAGCCAAGTTTCCAAGCGTGGAAGTGCATCGAAGTGAGTTTCCCGTAGTTCGGATCAGCCATGTGAATGTTGAGTGATTGAGACTGGTCAATGAAGGCCCCGCGATCAGCGGCCATTTTTATGATCATCTTTTGAGGAATCTCCCAAACGGTTCGGTAGAGCCGTTTCAGGTCATCAGGAATTGTTGATATATTCTGCGAACGGTAACAAAATTCTCGATCAGGCAAAATTTGCCTTCAACCTTTCCCTTCACAGGGACACATTTCAATCGACTAATAACTTGATAACTCGAACCTTCTCCGAAACAAAAACTCCCTCGGTCGAATTTTTTCACGTCACGCCTGTCTGATTTCCTTCAGAAGCAATACATCAAAAAACCTCCGCAACTCGAAAGCTTTCCCTCTCGAACCTCCTAGTTTATGGAGGTGTTTGTTCTTTTATTTTATTGACAGAGGAAAGATAAAAGCAATAGAACATGTAATTTGATGTGTTGCGAGAGGAAGTGAAGGACTATTCGGTCAAACGAATCATTGCATTCAACTTCCGCATCCTGTCGACTCATTCAGGAAACAATTTAAGGCTCAGAATATCACCATTTCAATTTCCTGCGATTCTTCTTTCTTAACCCCCAAAAATGCCATTTAAAATTTGTTCGCCGATGGTCCCTTGAATTTCGACTTCAAGAGGTTCGACAGTACTTCAGAATTCCCCCGAAAATCATTCGCAAAATTGAAAATGTCATCGACGTCATTCGTTCGTTACGAGGTCTCAAAAAAAAATCAAAAAAAAATGTAAGTGGAAAGTGGGCCAACCTGTATGGAACCGTTGTGCGCCAAGATGGTGTTCTTCATGTCGTCGTCCCACAGGTTTCGGTCAGACAAATCTTGCAGCAAATGCGGGTTGACCACTTGGAACTCGCCGGACAACACTCGTCGAGCGTAGATGTTGGACGTGTATGGCTCAATGGATTCATTGTTGCCCAGGATCTGCGCCGTAGACGCAGTCGGCATCGGCGCGAGCAGCAAGGAATTTCTCACGCCATGCTTGGCGATCTTGGCTCTCAACTCACCCCAGTTCCACAAATCGTTGGTCGTTTTCACGTCCCACATATCAGGCTGTAAAATCTATACATAAAAAAAAAGGAAAAGAAGCGATATCGAGATTATAAGACCTGCACTCGAACATTCCGAGAAAGATTCATTACCATATTTACTCGAATATTCGAAGCACGTCTATCGTATTTTCAATGACTTAAGCATTAAATAGATTATTTTGTCTGCAAATGTCTGACACACGTACAATAACCTCATCGTCTTCTCAATGTTTTCGGGGAATAATTCAGAATTCACATTCAAATTTCAAACTCTGTTAAAAAGTGTTCCAATACACAGATTTATTCTTAGCTTAATATCAATTTGGGGGAATATGAAGCTATTTCGCGTGTGACACTTGCAAAATATGCAGATACATTTGGGTATTGGTTAACAAACTTTATCCATCCCTGACTATTCTGGGCAAGTCCATTGACCAAATACAGTTGTTCGTTATGTATTGGTTAACAAACTTTATCCATCCCTGACTATTCTGGGCAAGTCCATTGACCAAATACAGTTGTTCGTTAGCCTCATGTTTTTATGTAAGAAAGTACAGGAACAATTTCAATTCGTTCCAAAGCCTTAAATGTACCGGCATAAAAATAGAGACATTTTTTGTAATGATTACTATACCTAAAATCCAAGATCTTTCCCTGAAGTACAGTATAAGAGAAATTCACATCAAGTACAAGAGCCGTTGAAACATTTTAATATCAAAATAAAATGGTTGTCCCACTCTTGGGCAACTGAAAACGGCACTGTTAAACTCATTGTAAGACAAAGGTTCTAATTTTATTTACCCCTTTGCTGACAGGCGACCCTTCGTAGGTCTCGTAAGGACCCAACTTCTCCGCAAGCTCACAACTGGCCTCCAAAGCCGCGAAATATATCGTTTCGAAGATCCGTTTGTTCAATTCTTGCGCTTCTTCACAATCGAATGCGTATCTCATTTTAATGAAGGTGTCCGCCAAACCCTGGACACCAATGCCGATCGGACGATGGCGGAAATTGGACCGTTTGGCTTCTTCAATGGGGTAGAAATTGATGTCGATAATCTTGTTCAAGTTTCGTGTCGCCACCTTGGTCACTTCATTCAGCTTATTAAAATCGTATGTTTTTTCCGCAGTGACGAACATGTTGACCGCAATCGACGCCAGGTTGCAGACAGCCACCTTGTAAAACAAACACAAAAATTAATTTTCACAAAATTTGCGATTTTTAGTGTTGCATTCTGGAATTCCAGGTATGCGATTTCAGGCGAGCGTCACTGACTTTATCCAGTCGGAAGAAAAAACTTTCCAGAAATATTCAAAATTAATTCACCTTCAAGGAAATGTAGGAAAATTTCTGGCTACATATATGTAATGACGAAGATAGCTGTACATTTTTAGAACACAGGCGTCCAATGTAGAAGAGCTGTAGAAACAGCATCAAGGCTTCGATTAAACGGACATATAAATATTGAAATACGAAGGAACTGAGGCAGCTTGTATTTGTCGTAATCTAGCAGAACCTATACAGAATTAAGAATTTAATTCCTCTGATGAAACGATCAACCTAGCCAAGGAATTTCGAGATTTGTAGGCACGCCTTAACTGTTCTTAGTTAATCAAAAGTAAGTCATTTTTCAGCTTAGAATTCGTATCTCTCTGACAGAATTGGTTTATTATCCGATAAACTTGTATCATTAGGAGATCGGCAACCAATCATTGGCCCGATTAATCGAAGTTGACAGTAAATCCTTGCTATCTACCCAATGCAACGAAAAAGATTAGATGAAAGTGCTGAGTCGACTAACTTGGAAACATCAAAATATTTATTCGATTATGTAAATTTAATCGAAGTTGCCCTTTCAGGCGGCGAAAACAAACCTCGTCCTTCGAAGAATATTCAATGATTTCCGTGCACAGGTTGGAACACTTGATAGTTCCGAGATTCTGTTGGTTTGATTTTCGGTTACAGGCGTCTTTGAAAAGCATGTAAGGAGTTCCAGTCTCAACTTGGCTTTCGAGAACTTCAAACCACAACGCCTGAGCTTTGATCTGTTTCCTGAATTTTCCGGCTGCTTCATACCTGTACAAAAATCCAATTTAAGATACAAAATTCTCTCAAGATTTCGAAATTTATAAAAAAAAAATTACAGTACATCTATGTTCATCATGAGGTTTGCCTTTCCGAATAACTTGAAATCACACAAATATTGTAGAATTGCCGAGCCGGACGGGCTTTCAAGAGCTTCAAAAATAATGAAAGAAAACGACAGTCCCTTTGAAGATCAATAGTATGTCAAAAATTGGTCCCCAGCAGACGAGCTATGAACAAAATGAAAAGAATTTAGATATTTTCGAAATTATGGGTCATGCGGTACCGTTATATTACTTGTTAGTTCAGGTTATCCGTACGGATTTGTGAATTCGGTTCATGTTGGAACAGCCAATCAAGGCAACCAACGACAAAAACTCACCCAGTGTAAAGCTTCTCAAAATCCTCGCCCCAAGTGTCATCCAAACCAGGACACTCATGCGGACACATCAGGCTCCACATGCCATCTTCCTCAACCCGTCTCATGAACAGGTCCGGGATCCAAAGAGCATAGAACAAATCCCTAGCTCTATTCTCCTCTTTGCCCGTGTTTCTTCTCAGCATCAAGAATTCTTGCACATCCGCATGCCAAGGTTCCAGGTAAATGGCGAAGGCACCAGGTCGTTTATTTCCTCCCTGGTCCACGTAACGGGCAGTGTTGTTGTAAACGCGAAGCATAGGAACGAGTCCGTTTGAGACTCCATTTGTGCCTGCGATGTAGCTTCCGGTTGCACGAATGCAATGCACGTTGAGACCGATTCCTCCGGCGGATTTCGAGATCAACGCACACTGTTTCAGAGTGTCGTAAATACCTTCAATGCTGTCGTCACTCATCGTCAGGAGAAAACAACTGCGAATACATGTACATTGCGGATTCACTCTCACGATAACATGCTTTCCAACGAAGGTTCCATGATATCGTAGGTTTTTCACCGCCTCTCATTCTCGGAAGCAAGGACGCACTTTCCCGATAATTCAACTAAAACGCGTTGCCTCTAGCATTAGTACCAGGGCTAATCCAAAGAAGCTTCTGATTTTAAAAACTGCATAACATCTAACAGAATCTGTTCTGTTGGACTTTCAGCGAGGTTGATGTTGAACTGGATTCCGAAATATATTTTACTTCTGCTTCTTCCGAACCGAAAGCGAATTCATCTTAAAATTCTAAAGACATCAGAAAGACAAAGAATAGTTCCACACGAAATACAGCCGGAAACTTAGGTGGCGATTCTTCATTAAATAATTCAGCTCCATGACGTGAACATTTCAGAAATCAGGGGGGAAAATGTGGAAAAAGGCTAAGGAATAATTTTTTTTAGTTCAAAACAGACGTATGCCGCTTGTTGAAAATAACTTACCTTGAAAGCTGTGGACGCCTCGTGGCGGCATTGAACAACGTCGGAGAAGCATGAGTAAACCATCGTTCAGAAAGCATGTTGTAAGTTTCGATCGCCGCCTCAATATCTTCACCGTGAATGCCTACACTGACTCTCATAAGCATGTGCTGTGGACGTTCTGAAACTTTGCCATTGATTCTCAGCAAGTAGGATCGTTCCAGTGTCTGGAGAAAATTTTACAGAACCATAGGGAAAATTCGTTTCGAGTGTTGGACAGTGACTTACCCTGAAGCCGAAGTAGTTATAACTGTAATCACGATCGTACACAATCGCTGAATTGAGACGATCTGCGTGCTTTCTAATCAAAGCGATATGTTCGTCGGAGATCATAGGAGTCGGGAGACCAGTTTTATCGTTTTCCATTTCGTACAAATCCTTCATCACCTCTGCGATCAAACAAACGGAGTCAAACATGAAAGAATTGAGTGCAAGCTTAATTCGGCACAAGATCGATTTTTCTACCGGAGAATATCTTCTTCGTTTCTTTATGCAAATTCGACACAGCGATCCTGGCAGCAAGAGTTGCGTAGTGAGGGTGCTTCGTTGTCATTGAGGCGGCAGTTTCAGCAGCCAGATTATCCAGTTCCACGGTCGTCACCCCAGTATACAACCCATTAATGACTTTCAACGTAATTGCTGGCTACAAAAGGAAATTAGAACAGTCGTACTGCATTCATTGCTGAAAAATCCCTTCCGCAAAAACTTACTGGATCCACGTAATCCATGTCTAAACCGTAGCACAACTTCGTGATGCGAGAAGTAATCTTGTCGAAGTGCACGGGCTCCTTGCGACCATCTGGAAACGAGTCGGCGATAACAACTCCGACGAATTACACGCAGAATTTCAATGAGTACTCACCGCGCTTCAGCACGAACATTTTCGAATACTGAACCATCTTGGTCCTTCTCGTCTGAGGCACTGGTTTATCACAATTTTTTTGAACGAATGCGTAGACTAATCACTAGTACAATGCCCAGGGCAATACTACGGAAGAGTTGACTGTTTTTCAAAAAGAAAACGCTGTCGTAATTGGGGATGAAAGCTTCCTCGGAAAGGATGAACAAGAATTTCGAACGATTCGCCATAGACCCTCATACAGATCACTTACCGGGGCTATATCGTCCATGTGGCTTTGATACTTCGCCAATTCTGGTGGGAAATCCAGGCAGTCCGAAAAATGAAAGAATATGGCCTTTTTCATCAGCAAATTTATCTCAATTCGTCATTACTTCTCGTACAACCAGAATTCTTTCAAGATAATCACAAAACCAATAGAACACCACGCGTCTCTCATTGTACGTCTGAAAGAACGTAATTCAAGAAATGTTTAGATGTTCCTAATCTTTCAAAGGTGGCCAAGAATTGCCGAGGTCAACCCGATCGCAACTACCAACGGTTGAACAATGAATGATTCGACCAGAACCTCAACGCCCGGATTCCGCGGGCATTCATATTCGAAGTTGCGCGCGCGCGCGTCAACGGACCAGTTAAGGCGGTTTCCAACGGAATCCAGACACTAGAACTCTCTAAATCTCTCCCTGGTGGGAATGTTGTACAATGACTCAGGGCCACTTGGTTCTGTCCGTCAAATTACAGCATAGGCCAACAGCACTCAATTTCTGCTTACTGCTATGTGCGGTATTTTAACAGAAAAAATGAATAGACATTCCATTCGTTTTCCGAACTCCTTGAATATCTAACCGATCAAACTTGCGAACAGTGTATCAGACGCACCCGTTTTTCTTTTTTAATGTCGATTTCTCTCACTTTGTACCAATGATCGACCCACTCTTACCTTTTGCAAAAAAAAAAAATCCAAAATGCTTCTAAAACGCACGTCATACCTTTAAAGTTGAAGCTAGCTTATAATAAGTGAAAAAGCCCAATTGGAACTGAACTGCGTTCATAGAACTGCACAGGAAGAGCTTTCAAAATTCGTCTCAAAGAGGCTACTGTATATTGGGTGCTGAAGCTTTATTTGGCCGGGTTGCTTGACTTATTGCTCCTTACAATTTTGACATCCTCGGCATATACTGGATTCCGTGAGCTGTATATGGTGCTGGGGGTGTGACTGCCCTGCACTTCACCTCAAGCACAATGGCTTGCCAATAGCATTTTATGTCAACTCTCAACATATGTGTATTGTATTATTCATACCCATAATTTTCAACAAAAAAATAGGCAAGTTCACTGGATCTTTTCTCCTTTTTGATCCGCTGTTGAAGTTAATTTATGACTAGATCTGAATATATCAGGCAAATTTTAAAATACTTTTCAATGGATTATTTCTTTACTGACAATATTCTGATAGCACATTGACACAGAAAACTCCTAAAATACATTTTACATCAAATTTGCTGATCATTATTATTTGGCTGAAATGAGGTAAATTCAAAGCCTTGCCATCAATAAGTCATTGAATAAAATTCGAAATAAGCCACATCTTAATTAAAAATAAATCAACCTAAAATATAGATTTATTTTATATCATGCAAACATGGTGATCTTATTTGACTATGAAATTGATCAATGACTTCATGATTTTTATTTTTTCAAGCGCTACAAATACCGTGTTGATTAAGAAGCTCAGATATAACTGCGATAAAGTGTTGGAGAGGCTTTTTTTTCTGCTGCGCATGCATAGCTTCAATTACTTCAGTGCTGTGAGAATAAGGCGAGATTCAGGATCTTGACGATATAAACTTGAATCTATTTTAAGAAGGTGTATATATATATACACACGGAGAAAAAGGTCAATGAATATCCGCAGAACAAAGAACTATTTCAAACTATTCAGCGAGCCAATGTTGCCATCGTCCGGTGGTTTCCCGTCTTTGCCAAAAACGCCCTTGTTCAACAGCCGCTTCTTGACTGCTTTCATGTGTCGTATGCGAGTTTCCTTCAGCTCCTCCAGCTCTTCCTTTTCTTCGCTCTGTCACAATAAGGGATTTTTAGCAAGAAAAAAAAAAGTAATTTTTTTTTCTATTAATGCAATATGCGCCGGACTTATTCACTAACCGTTTGCTGATGGCGCAAGACCAGCGATCGTCTGCCATCGGACATTGGTTGAGAATATTTTCGAAGCTGCTCGAGTCTTTCGCGCGGATGAACACCCCTCTCCACCACGAGTACAATTCTTGCCCACTACGCATGAAGCACATTACACCGATCGAGCATCGTTTCATAATAAAATTAGAAAAGGAAAAATTTGAATCCTGACCGCAAAACGGTAGAACAAATCAACATATTGTGGATTTCAATGCAAGAAAATTCTTGCTGCCTTCACATATAGCTCAAGCATTTTTTATTTCCCCAGAAGCAGTCAGTACAGTACAGTATATAAAGACGGACCTTTCTCAAATTCGACTTACGGAGGTTTCAAATTATAGAGGACAAGAGGAGGTTACGGAAACTAGGTTTTAGAATGCTTGCTGTGAAAATTAAAAAGAAATAATTAAATTGAATTTTTAGCGAAAACTGTGCATAGTGTGTTCGGAACAACATTTTCTTAATTATTCCCTCGTGCTACATAAAAAGGGCTGACCACAGCAAATAGATGAGTCTATTTCTATACAGATGCAGAACTTCAAGCCAGGATTTTATGCACCATTTAAAGCTGCTCATTTTTCTTTCCAAAATCGTATTACCATTTGAATTTCCTGTCCATCCTAGCTTGTTGTCAAAAAAATTCTAGTTGAGGAGCTTCACAGTTGAAACATTTTGAGTTAAGGAGGTCCAGGAAATCTTGCTTTCTAAGGGAACTTTGAACAGGGTCTATAAAAATGAGTTTTGGAGGTCTTTGCCTTGTTAGAGAGTTTTGAGTTGAATGAGAGGTGTNTTCTAAAACGCACGTCATACCTTTAAAGTTGAAGCTAGCTTATAATAAGTGAAAAAGCCCAATTGGAACTGAACTGCGTTCATAGAACTGCACAGGAAGAGCTTTCAAAATACGTCTCAAAGACGATATTGGGTACTGAAGCTTAACTTGAGTTGCTTGACTTGCTTCTTACAATTTTGAAATCCTCATCGGCGTACTGTATGTTGGATTCTGTAAGCTGTACACGGTGCTGGACGTGTGACTGCCCTACACTTCACCTCGAGCACAATGGCTTGCCAATAGTATTTTGTCAACTTCCAAAATGCGTGTATTGTATTATTATTCATACTCATAATTTTCAACAGAAAAATAGCCAAGTTCACTGGATCTTTTCTCATTTTGGATCCGCTGTTGAATTTATTTTATGACTAGATTTGAATATTTCTGGCAAATTTTAAAACACTTTTGAATTTATTATTTCTTTACCGACAATATTCTGATAGCACATTAACACAGAAAACTCCTGAAATACTGTACATTGAAATACATTGAATATAAAATGCATTGCTTATTATTATTTTCTGGCTGAAATGATGTAAATTCAAAGCCTTTCCACCAATAAGTCATTGAATAAAATTCGAAATTAGCCACATCTTAAATAAAAAGAAATCAACCTAAAATGTAGATTCATTTTATATCATGCAAACATGGTAATCTTATTTGACGATGACTTCATGATTTTCATTGTTTCAAGGACTACGAATGTACCTTGTAGATTAAAAAGCTCAGATATAACTGCGTTAAGGTGTTTGGAGAGGCTTTTTTGTTTTTCTGCTGCGCATGCATCTTCAATCACATCGGTGATGTGAGAATAAGGCGAGATTCAGGATTTTGACGATATCATTCAACTTGAATCTATTTTAAGAAGGTGTATATATATATACACGGAGAAAAGGGTCAATGAATATCCGCAGAACAAAGAATGGCCTATTTCAAACTATTCAGGGAGCCAATATGTTGCCATCGTCCGGTGGTTTCCCGTCTTTGCCAAAAACGCCTTTGTTCAACAGCCGCTTCTTGACTGCTTTCATGTGTCGTATGCGAGTTTCCTTCAACTCCTCTAGCTCTTCCTTTTCTTCGCTCTGTCACAATAAGGGATTTTTAGCAAGAAAAAGAAGTAATTTGTTTTTCTATTAATACAATATGCGCCGGACTTCTTCACTAACCGTTTGCTGATGGCGCAAGACCAGCGATCGTCTGCCATCGGACATTGGTTGAGAATATTTTCGAAGCTGCTCGAGTCTTTCGCGCGGATGAACACCCCTCTCCACCACGAGTACAATTCTTGCCCACTACGCATGAAGCACATTACTGTACACCGATCGAGCATCGTTTCATAATAAAATTAGAAAAGGAAAAATTTGAATCCTGACCGCAAAACGGTAGAACAAATCAACATATTGTGGATTTCAATGCAAGAAAATTCTTGCTGCCTTCACATATAGCTCAAGCATTTTTTATTTCCCCAGAAGCAGTCAGTACAGTACAGTATATAAAGACGGACCTTTCTCAAATTCGACTTACGGAGGTTTCAAATTATAGAGGACAAGAGGAGGTTACGGAAACTAGGTTTTAGAATGCTTGCTGTGAAAATTAAAAAGAAATAATTAAATTGAATTTTTAGCGAAAACTGTGCATAGTGTGTTCGGAACAACATTTTCTTAATTATTCCCTCGTGCTACATAAAAAGGGCTGACCACAGCAAATAGATGAGTCTATTTCTATACAGATGCAGAACTTCAAGCCAGGATTTTATGCACCATTTAAAGCTGCTCATTTTTCTTTCCAAAATCGTATTACCATTTGAATTTCCTGTCCATCCTAGCTTGTTGTCAAAAAAATTCTAGTTGAGGAGCTTCACAGTTGAAACATTTTGAGTTAAGGAGGTCCAGGAAATCTTGCTTTCTAAGGGAACTTTGAACAGGGTCTATAAAAATGAGTTTTGGAGGTCTTTGCCTTGTTAGAGAGTTTTGAGTTGAATGAGAGGTGTAACTTCTATTTTTCATTCCAGCAAATCTGTTCAAGTGCACAAATATTGTCAATAAAGAATTTTGTTTTGAAGAAAAAAAAACCACAAACTAAAGATATTTAGAACCCAAACATATCATATATTGTATATACATTGCAACAATATCTGT